CGCGCGGGCGGTGTTGGGAGTGACTCGTCGCTCCCATGTAACGCCGCTGCTGCGCGAGCTGCACTGGCTGCCGGTAGCTTTCCAGGTGCGCTTCAAGGTGTTGATTATCATCTTCAAAGCGCTCCATGGCATCGGACCTGGTTATCTCCGAGACCGCCTGCTGCCTCAGATTACCTCCCACCGGCCGATACGCTCCCACAGAGAGGGTCTCCTCAGGGTGCCGTCAGCCAGACAGTGCCGGCTGGCGACCCCCAGGGGGAGGGCCTTCTCGGTTGGAGCTCCCACCCTATGGAACAAACTACCCCCAGAGATCCAGGTGATTCCGGATCTCCCCTCCTTCCGCCGCGCCCTCAAGACATGGCTATTTAAGCTGGCAGGACTGGCCTAAGGATTACTTTTTTAACTTGGTTTTATAATAATTTTTAAAAATAGGATAATAATGGCCTCATAATAATATTTTATTTTAATTAACATTTTAACTCTAGTATTTTTGTAGTTATGTACTTGTTTTTAAAAGGCTGTAAGCCGCCCTGAGTCCGCAGGGAGAAGGGCGGGGTAGAAATATAAATAATAAATAAATAAATAAATAAATGTCCAAAACAGAGCACTTGTAATGCATTCATCTATCCAGCCATCTATTCATTCATTCATTCATTCCATCATTCAATTTCTATAGCTGCCCATCTTAGTCAATGACTCCGGGTCGCTTCCAATTCAAAAAATATATTACAAAAAGCACAAAAATGCAAATGTAAAGATAAATTGTTAATATGTTAATAAAAAAGCCCTTTTTATTTCCTGTTCAATCCCAGCACAGAAACTGGAATTTATTAATTATATAGTTAATTATATAGGTAGATGAATACTCTCTTTTAGATAAATGTAGCTATATTGACTACTTATGCAGAGAAAACTGGCTCAGTAATTCTTTAGAGTTGGGCTTGTTATGTCACCTCTCAGATGTAATTTCTGCAACTGTTGCAACTGTTATTTTTTAGAACAGAAATTTACAGACAGCTTTGCCAATTAATCAATTATACTCCTTAATCTACTGAATACATATTCTCGTAATAATACCCTAACCCACCTATTACCAAATAATACTTCTTATTTTTTGTAATGCAATTAGTACACAAAAGATGCTTTTATTCTTCTGAAGAGGAATGTTTTACAGGTCATTCTAAAGACATCTTCAAGCTTTATATTTTGGATTTTGAACATCTTACTAATACACTTTTCATATTTTCCCATCATTAATACATTAAGCAATGTGGTGGGTGGATGCACAAAGATAATTATAGAGGAAGCAAAATTGCTTTATAGCTCTAAATTGATCTTCAGATACTGGCAGTGAGTAAAGATGACTCTACCATTGTCAGTTACAAAATCCTAAAATACTTTTTAGTATGACATACATTTATACTTCCAGTAAATATATGCACTTTTAAATTTATAGATTACATTTTAAAAGTGCAGGAAATGATTTTGGACTTTGATTTGCTTTGGGTTTTGCTTAATTTTGAGAAATATTTGGGAGATTAAAAGGTATATTTTATATATTTCCTATGATTTTTATTCTTTAACTGATCAGTAGAGGGAAAAAATGTCACACTACTTTTAGATTAAGTTTATTTTCTATATTGCGTCTCAATTTTTCATAGCAACATTTCCATTTTGAACTACTAAAACAAATTTTAAATCACATTTATACCTTGATCATTATTTTAGTTCTAGAAATTTGATGCTTGAATTTGGTGGTTTTAAGACAATAATCACTACCACCTCTTTGTATATCATCAAAATTCTTTTGATTTTGTCAACTAGATGTGAATATGGAAAGAGATTTCAAAGCATTACTTTCATAAATAGTTTTCCTCCATTTTTTAGTCTGAATTAGGATGCATACTATAATAGTACTTCAGAATGGATGTTGTTAAGCCATATACAGACTATCATTTATTTTTAGATCCTGAAAATCAACTAGCATTGAAGAGAAGTTTCGAATGTTTATACAAAAAGGATATTTGCAAAATGTTTATTAAAACTAACAGGCCTCTCAGTAGCAAAAGTCTTTTCATGCCTTTTCATCCTTAAGTTTTGAAACATATATTACATTATCTAACTGATCATATATTTTTAAGTTGTTTCATTTAATAATAGTTACACATTTTTACTTGGTTTTCTTACATTTTTGTTACACCATTTCCCTGCTTCTCAGAAATGTTCACATTGCAGCTGCTCTAAGGGCAGTAATTTGAAAAATGAAATACTACACCAAAGTAGTTCTTCAATGTAGTACTTGAGAAGTACTCTTTCAAGGACAGAAGCAACTTGAACTAGGAGACATTTCCTAACAGTGACAACAGTTAACCAGTGGAACCACTTGCCTTCAGAAGTTGTACATGCTTCATCACTGGAAGTTTTTAAGAAAAGACTTGACAGCTACTTCTCTGGAATGGTATAGGGTCTCCTGCTTGAGCAGGCACTTGGACTAGAAAACGTCCAAGATCCCTTCCAAGTCTTACTCTGTTAATACTGAGGAAATAAAAGACAAGTTGTATTGAATGGAGGCCTACAAAGTATACAATCTTTTCATGAAATTCATCATACAGTAGAAATCTGCAGAGAGAAATAAAACAGAGCCTTCACAGATAATAAAATACTTTGAAATGTGAATGCCTCCACATTTCCTAGAAGATGTTGCTGTTGTAAAGAGGTTTTCTCTTTCTCTTCAGAAAATAAAATATGGTAGAAAATTGTGTAAATCACATTTGGGACCAGTAATTTGATCATTAGGTGAAGTGGTTGCTAAGCAAAACTGGGGCTATGCTTATGATCTTATTTCAGCTTCCCTTTGTTTTATAAGCCTACAAAGGTGGTAAGGGAAAGACTTGATCAAAAACTACTTTTTCATTGCTGTGTACAGTCATTGTATGGGATAGGCACTAACGATCAAATCACAAAATGTGATATAGAGCTATTATTATAATACAAGCAAAATGCATGAAACTTTTATGTATAACATAAATGGGAAAAATATATTCCAAAACTCTAGGACAGTGGTTCTCAACCTGTGGGTCGGGACCCCATTTGGGGTCGATCGACCATTTCATGGGGGTCGCCAAGCAAGGCTGTCTGCCATTTTTTTTGTCCGCCATTTTTTTGTCCGCCATTTTTTCCCCTTTTCCAGCGGGTGCCTTACCTCCTTTGGGCTGGGCCAGCTGGTGGTCGGCCTGCTCCGTCTCTGCCACTTGCCAGCTACGCCTTGGCCGGCGCAGGGGGCGGAACCACGCATACGCGGCGCTCCCGGGCAGGGAAAGTCCTCGACTTACGACCGGTTTAGTCCTCGACTTACGACCAGTTGGGGTCGCGGCATTAAAAAGGTTGAGAACCACTGCTCTAGGAGGTTGCATTCTATATTTCAGCATTAGAGAATATGAGAAAAGAAAACATGATTTCAGCATGAGGACAGCTGTCCAAAGGAGGTGTATCTTCAGCTCATTTTCAAAAGAAATCTGACTTCATTATTGTGTGGACAGTCTGTTACTAAAAACATTCTCCATAACTTTGTTCCATGTCTTGATTTTACATTAGCGATATTTGTGGTTAGCCATAATAACTATTTCATAATAATGGGGGAAAAAACAAAAAATGAACAGTCTTATTGGAATGGAAATAAAGTATATATTAATTTTTTTTGTATTTAGTAAAGACTCTGAGAGCACTAGATAGCAGCTGCCAAAATAGACAGTACAAGAAAAATAAGAAGGGGGAAAGGGAAAGAGAGGGAAGATGGGAAGTTTCTTAGAATAGTATGATTACATTTCCCACCTTAGAAGTGTTGTTTGTACACTATCTTCAGATGCTCCAGCTGCCAATTACGGTAACTCAGTTTTTAACTTATTTCAGATAAACTTAAAAATATCTAAGTTATTATAAAAAATCTATTCATTTACAATAACAAAATAGGGGGGGGAAATACCCCACACAAACATGATTGATTAACCCAATTTTGCCCAATCTGCTACTATTCAGATATTTTTGACCAATCTCAACTCAAACCTGCTTAGCTGAAACCTGGATTTCTTGATAAAGTCATTCAACTGCTTGCCAAAGAAGAAATGGGCAATAAATGTATTTCTAAATGTGATTATTTCCCATTCCTATTTAGCCAGATGACATTGAGTGATGACAGGAATTGCTTACTTCAATACAGGACTGGATAAATTAGGGACACCTGTAAACATTACTTCTGTCAATATTAAAATAAACAGAAGCAAAATTAAGTACAAATTATATTCTGTAAGGATCTGCCCCCTACTGGACTAACATGTATTTGCTTACCAAGGATAATTACATTGCACTCACTGTGTGTGACAATTGTAAACTCACTGTGATATTTTACTATCTGAACATTATCTCCTGAAAGTGCATTTCCTAGAAAATTTTTAGGTAGCAACCAGAAGTACATTAAGATGGAAGTTATTTGCATTGCAATGAATTATTACAGTTACCCTTTTAAAAAGCTGATATAGAGACTTGTTCTTTTATATTTAGAATGATTATAGTTTTCCTTGGAGTATACATTTTAATTATTTCATTACAATGAAATGGAATTTCTTTATTTAAAGAAGATTGTGGAAGCCAAAGCTCATAATATAATGACATTTTGTAGTGCATCAAAAGACTTCATTAAGCAAAACCAGAGATGAATACATAAAAGGAAGTGTTTTAATACATTTCCAGAAATCCTATATTAGCAGTATTTCAGCTACAGTACAATTTCATTAGATTAACTGGAGAACTGATCTATCCATCCAACATTTAATTGATGAGTATAATTTAGTTTAACAAAAGAGGAAAAGTTTGCTACTGGTGTATCTATATACTTTTCTTTTCAACATAGTATGTAAAAAAACCCCTTAGGTTTACGGCTAATTTTTATTTGATTTTTTTTAGTATAATTAGTTCAAATCTAATAATTTTTTTAATTGATTTAGGTGGAGAACAGGCCAAAATACTATGGAAGAGAGTATGTATTAAAGTATTTGTTATTTCATATGGCATACATTAACTAATAATCAGCAAAATTTTGATTAATTTGTTTAAAAATGATGGCTTTTTTAACGCAGATACTTTTGAACAGGAGTGTGCAAAACATTTCAGATTCCAAAAGTTTTGAATCTGAGGAGACAGAAGGTGTGTTAAATATGTTTTGCTGCCTTCAGTTATTTGTAAAAATAATAAAAATGTGGGATATAAATTATCAAATAAATAAATAAACTTGAAGCATGCTGACCCAATGCCATTCCAATCTTATTGCAAGTGTTCACAGCTTGAAACACCATCATTTTGAGTCCAGTTTATTTGAGAGTTGGCTTTAAAGTTGAGGGCACTTACCTCAAAATCAGAATAGTGGTGGACTTTATTGTAAGATTGGTGCAGTCTGTTTCAAATTCAAAACACCTACTTTGAACTCAGATCAGAACATTTTAATGGAAACGTTTTGGATTGAGAATATTTTATATTGCCTTCCAAACAACTGACATTATCAAAAATATGGTAATTGCCACAATGCATTGGATGATTTATTTATTTTTTTGCTTTCTTTTACCATGCTCCAAATAGGACAAGAAAATCCTGCTGCTAAAGTTACCTAGTTTGGTAATGAAATGTTCAGGAATTATATTAATTATACTAAAACAAATCACAGCCAAAATGATCCAGGATACTGCAAAAGCAGCTATAAAATGCCCAAAATTCAATCATGTGATTGCAGGGGGATGCAGGAAACTGAACAAGATATAACACTAATTTTTTAAATGGCAAGGCAGTCCATCTTTTAAAAGTGGGAATCCAGTTTTAATGTCCTTCTATTTAAAAACTTCCAGCTTCACATATTAATAGTATTAGCCTTTGGGGGGCCTGTTAGAAACTTTTGTGCTTTATTCTTTTCTCCTCTCCCCCCAATATCAAATGCTTCTGATTTATTTATTCACCCATCCCCCTAAGAATTATAAACTGCCTTTGTTTTTCTAGATTTCACGGGATCATTTCTCGTGAGCAAGCTGATGAATTGCTTGGAGGAGTAGAGGGAGCATATATTCTTAGAGAAAGTCAGCGACAACCTGGGTGCTACACTCTGGCACTTAGGTAAATTCTGTCACATCCACCATAAATTTTAAGAAATGTTTGTTAATCTCAAAAATGTAAGGCATAATTCGTGAATGACATGTGAATAACTACATTCAAGGTAAAATATCTTAAAACATGATGTAATATATTAAGGATGCTTTAATCCAAATAAGAAAGAAACCAAAACATTTAGATGTGAATGATGGGTGTTGTAGTCCAAAACAACTAGAGAAGTTAAACTATTTCAGCCTTTGAAATTATTAGATATTGCAAACTTGTAGACTTTTAACAAGCTGTATTTTAACAAGCTGGTTTTTAAAGCATCTAAAATATCATTTCCAAAATGTGCAGTACTGTATAAATGTAGACATTGCAAACAGAAGAATCTGAGGAGTATGAAACTACCTTACCTTAATAAACATCAATGCAGAAGTAATACTGCAAATTTTAAAAATATAAACAATGATTATGTAACAAGCTCTTGTGATCTCTTACATTAACCTTTTTTTCTGAAAAGTAAATTTTCCCTCGCTGTTGAAAATGCAGATATGTTTCCACCATTTCCATTTTTAAAGTTGAAATTAGCTCCTATTTTTATTTAACAAGGAAATGCAATACAACCAATACTATAATACAATACTATTAATGCAATCAGTACTATAATGTAAATATTAACTGTGTTTAACTCTGTCAGGAGATGGATGAGAAAATATTTATTTTGAAAGAAAAGTAGAGACTGAATTATTCCAAACTTCAGTTCAATGATTAATTGCTGGTAAATAATTTGGAATATTTCCTCCGCACTGGCCCATCATTTTTTGTTAAATTTGCTCTAATTGTATATAATCTTTATTACGTAACTCTTTTCTCCACTATTTATATAATGGGTATTTAAAATGCATATAATTATTTTAAAAAATACAGTTATGATGCTCAAACACTAATTCAACATCTTTGTTTTGTTTTAATGCAGATTTGGGAGTCAGACCTTAAATTACCGTCTTTTCTATGATGGAAAACACTTCGTAGGGGAGAAGAGATTTGAATCAATCCATGATTTGGTAACAGATGGCTTAATAACATTGTATATAGAGACCAAGGCTTCTGAATATATTTCCAAAATGACGACAAATCCTATCTATGAGCACATTGGATATGCTACTTTGCTTAGAGAAAAAGTATCCCGTAGACTGAGTAAATCAAAAACTGCATCAAAAAAGGCTGGTGTAGCAACATGTGAAGAAAATGCACCAGTTGAAAAGGTAAGGTGGCCAATTTAAAGGAAATCAGCTCATACATGTGCCTATATTAAAATTTATCCATGTCTTTCAGGGATAGAAGTTGTTGAAAAGTATTCAGAGAGAAAGTCAAATACAACATATTTGAAATGTTTCTGGAAAGTTATGGAATTTGTCTTTCTGTTTACTAGAATTAAACTCCAGATTACTGAAATCCATGTCATATGCCTATGGGCATTTCTCATTGATTTCAGTGGAGGTTATTACAAGTCCAGATAGGACCAGAGGTGAAATAAATGGGATCATCTGTTTTTTTAAAACAGTGCTATTTAAGCACCAGAATACAAACAGAATGAAAATATAAAGAGCTGTTTGTCTAGTTCAATATTGCTTTACAAAAAACTGAAAACAACTCCAATTATTCAGATAGGGTTCCTACCTAGAGATAACAAATCTGAGATCTTCTACATTCAGTGCTACTACTCCACCATGGTTGCACCCAATATAAAATGCAATAAATAGTATTATAATTCCGTATTGTTAGAATATATTTTGAGTATATTATCACCAAATCTCAAGTTTGTGACTTTTTCTATAAAAATGAATGTTTCTTTTGCCTTTGGTGAATGGATCTTTGTCTGGGGCTTTGGTTTTTCTACTCTTTTTAGTTTTGCTTTTCACACTTAACAATTTTCTACAATAGTTATGTGTTCGGTAATGATAAAAAGTAATTTGTTTCGCTGTTTTAGAAGATTTTAGGTCTGTTTCTCTATGAGTTTCATAAGACAAATCGCACTATAAGTAAATGATAGATGAGTTTATAAAAGTTACTTGAAAATATTCTCTCTCCATAAATTGAAAAATATGTCAGATTCTGTTTCTAGTCTAAGCACTTTTGAAGGTGAAATACATTTGAATCATGAGATGATTTTGCTGATCTGCTTTTGAGATGCAATGTATAGTTGGTCAGAAGATTTATGATACTTTCTGTGCTATAAAGACATTTCTGAGATACTGCTCTGTTTTTAAGATGGTAGATCTCTTAAATTAACGATGTTGAGACTCTAGAAAGAGTACAGAGAAGAGCAACAAAGATGATTAGGGGACTGGAGGCTAAAGCATATAAGGAATGGCTGCTGGAATTGGGTATGTCTAGTTTAATGAAGAGAAGGACGAGGAGGGACATGATAGCAGTCTTCCAGTATCTCAGGGGCTTTCACAAAGAAGAGGGAGTCAAGCGCCTGAAGGCAGGATAAAAAGCAACGGGTGGAAACTAATCAAGGAGAGAAGCAACCTAGAACTAAGGAGAAATTTCCTGACAGTTAGAACAATTAACCAGTGGAACAACCTGCCTCCAGAAGTGGTGAATGCTCCAACACTGGAAGTTTTTAAGAAGAGACTGGACAGCCATTTGTCCGAAATGGTATAGGGTTTCCTGCCTGAGCAGGGGGTTGGACCAGATGACCTCCAAGGTCCCTTCCAATTTTACTATTATTATTAACTGTCTGATTTCAAACTGGCATAAATCAAATAAAATTCAAACCTTTTGGGGGGTTAATTTAGAGAATTTTGGGAGGGGGTTATTTAGGGGAATGGATATTAAGTCTATTGAAATAGTAATAAAATAAAACTAATTAAATACTATTGAAAATACACACATGGATCTCTGAAAGTCAAACAGCCAGTATGACATATATCACATTTATTTATTTATATTTTATATTTTTAATTGCCCATCGCCTTCAGATATGTCAATGTAATCCAAAATCCTATAGAACTATTTTAACATATCAATTTATTGTATGTTATTCTCTACTATTTATTGAAATTTCAAACTTTTTAAAGCTCTGCGTGCACACAATTAGACTGTGCTTTATTTGCTTCATACAAGAACTTTTGTGTGTACTGAAGAAATGTTCCCATTTATTTGTTCCTTGTGGGAAAGAAGAAAGAGGGGGTTGGTTTAGTCCATCAGCCACATTTCTCAAGAATCTACCAAAAAGAATATTCACTTCCTGAAAGATGATCATTGCAAGCATATGTATATACAGTAAAAACTCAGCTGGCAAAGATTAGCCTAAACATTGTCCTGGGAACTGGATATTGGTTGAGAAATTTACCATATTATTCTTTTTAAACATGTGGTATATATTCAAAGATACTTTAAAGATATGGATCCCAGCTCTTTATATAAAATACATGAAGGAATGGAAATATTAAATCGTAACGACTCTCTCAAGAAGAATACCAGTTAAAAACCACATGAAAAACAAGCTATGTGACTTAGGCCAGTCACTCTCTCAACTCACCTTACCGCGCAAGGTTGTTATTGTGGGAAAAAGTAACAGTATGAAGGGCTATTATGTATGTTTGCCACTTTGAGTTATTTATAAGGCAAAGGCAAAGGCAAAATTTAAAAATCTAAAAAAATAATCATGTTAGGTACAATAAATGGAACAAAAAGAATGGAATCTTACAAACATATTAAAATGATCTGGAATTATCCATACTAATATATTCATATTGAAGAACTACAACAGATAGTCATGTATGTATCCTCTGCATATCTCCTCCATTGCATTCAATGGCATTTATTTCATATTTGCATGCAGGATTGCATACTGTCTGATTATGCTTATCCCATGGATCTATGGGGAAAAGTTCATTTCCCAATTCTTTGTTCTTGATCTGTATTAGCCAACTAGATCTTTGACATGACTTTTTTCCGTAGCCAATAGAGAAGTCAGACTTCCGTAACATCTGACCTACATTTATATAAACTATACAATGCCAGTTCAATATCTTGACATTACATTTGAGTTACTGATTAGTGGAAGAGAGGTACGAATTTAAAAAGTTTGGGGAAATCAATTTTAACTGGAATAAACATTTATTTCAATCTGACATTATATAGTTTCTCTGTTACTAGTTTTCCTACAGATTTTGATTTAGAACATAAAAGCTGTTCTAGTGTTCTATTTAATTTTATTCAACAAGTAAAACATTCTTACTTCTTATTCAACAAGTAAAACATTTATATTCATAAATTAATGAACTGAACTCAAGAAGTAAGGCTTGATAATGATTCCAAGGTACTATAGTTTGATAAATAAAATTTGTTTAACATAATATTTGCAAGATTTTTGATATAAAATGAACTATCTAGTTTGTCTAGATAAATGAAATATATTTTATAATGCAATTAAGATATTGCTTCAGTTAGAAAATATTTCTGTTCTCATTTTAATAGGTTGTATTAATATTCAAATTATGTTTGCATTTTAAAATTTGGGTTAGGACAAAACTAAGTTAGTTTATTTTGTTGTCTTTTCTCATCCCTTGCTTAGGATAACATCATATGAAGTATTATATTTGCAGATTTTTATTTCTTCTGAATTGCCAAAATTAAGATTTTGCCCACATACTAAATTTTAGAATTTTTAAAATAGGAAGACCATTCAATGAAGAGGAAACAGCACTTTGCTCTTGTACAGTTTTCATTTCAATTATATACTGAGGCTTACTGTTCAGATAAATATCTTCCACTGTTTTATGTTTGCTTCACCCAGAGCTGTTTTAATTTCCCACGGTTTAAAACAGGTTTTTAAAAAAACTAAATTCAGGTGTCATAAATTACTCTGGAGTTCCAAGAAAGCGATATTTTACTGTTGCAAGAACTAAAGCAGTGTAATGGTGTGACATCTTTGATGAATTAGGGAAACCTGTATTAAACTTCAGTGATGTGTCCATGCGAGATGTTAAATCTTTTTCTCCTGCAGGGCTTTACTGTTATAATTTTTCAATATAAAATCTATGGACCGTATTAAAAAGTCAGAATCTAAAGTCTTAAGACATGAATAGTTTTCATAGTATAATAGCATATAGGAGAACATCAAATTTATTATTTTGTCAACTTCAAATTATTAAAAAGAATTATGTCAGCTTTGAATGTGACATGGTTAAATTTTACTAATGATACTTGTATCAAAATTATAATGTTTCTGTATGAGTAGCTTCAAGCACTTGTGAACAGCCACTGAACATTTCTAGTTACTATATGCTGAAGATGTTACGGTGACTTGTCCATTTGCAGATCAGATTTCTTTGTGCAGTAGCTTGAAACAAATGGCTGCTCTTCAGAGACAAATCGACTATTGATTATTTCTCATTCTGAATGGCTGTCTTTCTTAACGCTAAACAAACAACAAGCCATGATAATGCTCTTATCACAGTTCGTCCTGTAAAATCCAGTTGAGGAAATTTTCATTTGCATATTTTATGGCAACACCAATATTTAAAAACATCCTAACAAAGTAACCCAATGTATATTTATTCGGTTCGGTTAAGTACAGCGAGACTACCCTTAAGTAGGTGAGTGTTAAATAGTACTGTTGCTGCATTTTGAAATATAATTTGAATCAGATTTCATGGTTCAGAAAACAAATGCCCCAGATTTACAACAAAACTGACAGAATTTCTAAATTATATATATTGCAAGAAAATGGGCAGAATTTTCTAGCACCTTAAAAATGAACGACTTTATTATAGCAGAAACTTTTGTGAATCTAACATGGAATATAACTCATCCTAAATAACTCATATTTATTTTTCATTATAGTAGATCTAATTCTATAGTAATTTGGTTGTATAGTTTAATAGCTGTGACACAAAATTTAGCTATTTAGCTATATAGCAAAGCAAGATAAAACTTATTTGATCATTTTGGTATATGTTATAATAAAGATGGCTTATTAGAGAAAAATAAATTGATGGCAACCTTGATATGCTGGATGTTTTTTTAATCAAATTTGAATTGCAAGGAAAAGTTATTTTAGGAAAAGGAATTTTAGCTAATAGTATTGAGAACTGCTGTAGTTAAACATTATGTGTGGCGCTAGAAAGGGCTTGTGTTGAGCTGAGTGTATAAGAACGGTTAAATAACTGCTTGGTTCCAATATAGGAATTTTTAAATACTCCTTAATATGATTAAACTAAGTTCATTCTGTTCTTCGTGTCAGGTAATT